TTGCTTTCTTTATTTTATGAATATTAGTGAGATCGCGCAGGAAAGTGCTCCAAAATTAATCCTAGCAGAGCTATATACTCCGCGGATTTTTTTAATGATCATTAAAGCTATTCATAATAATTCGCAACACATACCAATCACGAAATTTCTGCGTTAATTTTTCAAAAATATCTTTCACCTAATAATCTGCCTAAAAATGTTTTCTCGAACTTTCCGTTTTTTTTTCTTTTTTTTTTTTTCAGGAAATTTGTTACGCACAGAAACTGTAATTTTCGAAGAATCTTGAAAGAAGCAACGTGAAGACGATTTATTTTCCACAGTTATTCCGCCAAAAAGTACCTGGTTTTAGAACTTTGTCAGACTCACTATAGCATAATGTTGCCTTAAAGCGACAAACCGGTTTCCCACATTTTCTCCGCTTCTTTGTAGCCTTCGTGTCTATATGTTATAGAAAAAGTACCGCAGAGCGATTTAAAGCGACCTTTGTAGGTAAACGGGCGTCTTACTTTGTGCGTTATTGATAAATGCACGTATATATCGACTATTAATTAGAGTTCATTAATATAAATAAAATATCCTTGGTAAATATAATATTTTCAGCCTCTCGTTATAAATTGATAAAACGTGAGATAAAATTATGTTGCTTATTTACGTTTTATTGAACTTTGCTCATGTATCTTTAAAGTACTAGAACTCTTCATTTTTTATGAAAAAGCCGAAGGAAAACATTCGTGTACAGTGTCCATACATCGGTTATCCGTTAAACAGAACGTTGTCCAAACAAAGTTAGGATAGATAATGCAATGATCTAATCACAGTTGTATACTTATCGATAACGTGATTGCGATAATGCATAACAATATATCTACGTGAATCGTTTCACCTCACGTAAGAAACAGTATACTTTTGGATCTGATTTCCTTTACTGTTGTTTTCACAGTTTCCTCTGGAGATTTATCAATCCTATTCTTATCGTTCCTTTTTATTGCATCCGGATTTTATCATTTATATTATTTACGCGACCGATATACATTTTTGCGTGGCATTATTATGCAAGAACGCGTTGAATGATATTCGTTCGATTAATAAAATGTTTTGACTACAATTAAAATTATCAGAAAATGATTGACGGAATTTAAATCTCTGTAACATAAATTCACGATGTCCCAAAATTATTTGTCAGCGTTATCAATTTATTTGCACAAAACAGTCTTTAATTGATTGAATTTCTGCGGCTATTGTAACTACTAATACAAATAGTTGCGTAATTGCTTATCGTAAAATGTAAAAATATATAGATTCACTTGTTACAGTGCTTTATTAATATTTATTTATAAAATATCTACAGTCGAATGACGCACTATAGTCACCGTTTACTAGTAGGGAAACAAACGCTAAATGCGATCGATCGCAGTTCAGAAATTTATTAGTTCGATATTAAAATCACATTAACTGTAATCATGCAAATGTGGAAGCCGGTACATGTTAAGTAAAAATTCTTTAGTCTACGACAACGCTATCTGATTAATTATAAGTTATCGATACTATGCAACGATCATGCGTGAACTGGAAATAATGTGCAGAGTGTGATTTGTACGCCGGTGGTTTGAAGTGAAACGTTATTTCATTCGAACTTATCGATAAATCGTGTTTTACATTTAAAAAGATCGAATTATCATCGGAATATCCTTGACATCGGAGAAAAAGAAAATAGCTCGTTTATTTCTCTCGTATCTAATATATTTATTAATGATAATCCCATATAACAGAGATATCTAGTTACATTATTGCAGGCAATAATTAATTTTTTTTTCTATGTAAAAATATTTTATATTAAAGTTATTAATAATATTGTGTGCATAAAAAATTATGCAACATCAATGCTATTATTATTGTTAATTTAAGTGAGACGGTCATGATTAAAGAAATACAAGATACGATAAAAAAAAATATAAATTTTTTATATATAATATTTTATATTTTGTACGAAGATTATAACTTTTTCAATATTGTGTTGTTTATATATCAGCGAGAGTATTTTATAATACATGACGTCATAAAGCACGATATTATTCTCTGGTTAAGTTTCATCTTCCATCAGGACAATTGTGTGTGAGACACGTATTCCTTTTAAAGGAAGTCATCTCCGAAGTTGCAGCTTGCGGAAATTCGCAACCTTGCGGTTTGCCGACGGTACGCATGTGTTTTTGCGAAACGCGATATATCCTATGAATTATATCGAGCATTGTAGAAGAGAAGCAAAAATTATTTCATTAATCGGCAATGAATATTCACTTTATCTCATATATAAATAAGATCGAAAGTTGCTCTGTCGCACGTATAGCGTTAATGCATGCATTTAGCTGAAGACGCGAGAAGTAGAAATAAAACGTCAGATATCGATTAAATTTCTCGAAAGGTACAGTACAAGACTGGTATTAGGTTCAGGTCAAAGTATAGCCTACTGAAGTGATTTTTTAGACACAGACGAAGGTGGTTTTCGATGTCCCGCGAAATTGCAGCGCCAGATGGACGAAAATGACGATGTCCCACATCACCCGCCTCTGTAAAACATTCTTCGAGCCCTTATCCCGCTCTACTGTTACTGAAGAGAAACCAGCCCGTATTTTCCATCCATCAGATTTACGTAGTTTGATAAAGAAGGAAGTCCTCGTAAATAAATTCACGTCAGATCGGAAGAATAGAAACGCATTTCTGAGATGAAGGAGACGTTGCTGCAAGCGAGCGACGTCTTCCCCGTTTCACTCCGTTTGCTTCACTCACACAGTCACGTGCTGCTGTTTTCGTTTATCCTTCTCCTGCTTGAACTTTTACCGCTTCTTTCTCGTGCCGCAAAATTTTTCACGACCCGCAGCATTTTTACTTTCAATCGGACAAACGGATCGTCACGAGGTTGACCCTCTTCCCTCCCCTTCCCTCCCCTTCCTCTTTGTCTCTGTCTTTTCAATTTTTCTGTACGACACATAAGCATCTGATGTCTGTCGCTTTGTTTAATTTCAATTCTTGTCACTCATCAGTCTGTAATAATCTCAAAGGAATTCGTACTACGTCAAATTACAACGAGATTTGTGTCAACTCACCTTGATATGTTTATTTTATCTTGCTGTAGTTTCTCATTATTGACAAACGTGGATTAAGTCGATTGAAAACTATTGACGAATGTAGATTAATGCCCGTTTCTGCCAATATAGATTAACTTTAATCTCGGTTCAACTTGCTCTTGATCTTTTTCTAACTCTTAGAACTAGAAAAAGATGAAAAATAAGCTGAACCAAGATTAAATTATACATTAGTGGAAATGGACACGAGTTAATTAGATGTTACATTTGATTTAAAAAAGATCAGCTCAAATACTTATTCGTTAGATTCTTTCAATTAGATTATGTGAAAGGTAGACATGCGATAAAGACTGATTAGCATAACTGATTGTTAGCACAACTGCATTGTTTACAACAAGCCGTGCCGTCGTGCAACAACATTCTGTAAATATTCTTCCTCGCCTGTGTAAGATACCGTTATATATCGCTAACGCATCGCCGATTTCATTCAAATATTGACTCGCTTCCTACTTACGTAATCCACTCTCACATCTTCGTAGTTTAGATTGTTTTATCGAGCTTCGAGAACTTACGCATTGTTTTGTGTGCGTTAAATTTCCCGATCTTCGCTTTTGAAAATCTTCTACAGTTGCGAGTTGCATTATTATACTATACGTGCGCTCTTTGACCGTTCTCGAGAAACTTACGACTCCCGCATAGGATAAATCTATCTCACCTATTCATCTCTCTCTTTCTCTTTCAGTCTAACCTTGTCCTTTACTATTCTTACGCGCCACCTCGCTCCATTGTTCCATAACGTTGTTTAAAATCTGTAGTAAAAATTTCAGATTTCCTTCGACAATTTCCTTATCCTTTCACGCAGAGTTATTTTCTAACAGCTCAAGATTCAGATCATTCTTGAAAGATACACATTATGAAATTCAGAATAAGCTAGAAATCTAGACTGAGCTAAAAATCTGTACCTTGTCGTTATATACTTGAAACATTCGGCCCATTGTAAAATCTAAAAGAGAGGAACGACTGAGAAACTCTTGGCCGACTCGCTTCTTTGCGACATCACGCTAGGCCAGGTCTAAATAAATTGTTTCGCGCAGCTGTTAGACAGAGCTCGTTTCGTTGATACTTGCAGGCCAGCCGGAACTTCAACGAGCCTCGAATTGTCGACATCACCAAGCAGATGTAAAATTACATTTACCACAAATCGAGTTCGAAGGCGAGCAGCGATTAGTCTCTTTGTAAATTTATTTTTTGAAACGACACGGTTTCGAAATATCAGGAATTTCGAAAAAAAATCGGATTGTTTTAATAAATAATGAAATTTCTAATGTTGCGTTTATACCACTTTCAAGATAAGGGAGCTAATAAGCGGAGCAGTATCTACTAAGTGTGAAGCAGTTGCTATCGATCGTTGTCGACGACGGAGAAAGTACATTTACAGTTGTCTTCTTCGTATACTAAGAGGCGTATAATCTTTTTAATCTTCCTAACTATGCAAGAGAAACCCGAAAATGAAGATAATCGTGACGAAACGCATAATTACGCGTTATCAGATCTAGTGAAATGGTCCCAGCCGCAGATTTTCCTTCGTACGTAACAATTCTCTCAACAATTTCCCAAGATATTTTCCTCCGAAAGTTCGTAATAATAACCGCTCCCATAAGGAATATCCTAGAAAAAGTCTAGAGATGAAGACTGATGAAAAACCGCGCAGTTATCGCGTTCAGTGCAAGCCATTGTTCGGTGACGACCAACTTAATTACGACAATGTACGTTCTACACAGTTCACGAGTCCTGTGTGGACGACGTATGTATGGGATATTTGGAAAAACCGTAAATAAGAGGCCTATCCCAAGCTCAGGCTAGAATTCAGTTAGCATTAGTCACGCGGGAACTCAGGCACGCATTGCCGTCGGAAATTACCTGCGATTAAGCAGAACTCCACTGTGACGATTAGTCGAACGCGTCCGGCAGACAGCGTTTCATCCTGATTCGATGGGAAAAGGAGTCCTTTTTCCAAGTATCCAATTCACAGGCACATCGCGGAAGCGTCGGGCACGTATTTTTCCCCGACGTTTCTGTTCTAACGGCGGTGGAAACTTCGCGAACCTCGGGATATCACTCCGGGCCTTCACCACTCGACGAACGAACGCGAGAGCACGAGAGAGCAGCGTACATGAGTCGATCCTTAGAGAATCAACGAACCGATCCGCGCCCGTCTTCCCTTCGAGGAAGCACGGAAGACTTTTCGCAAGCTACATTTCGCACCAGCTCGCCTCCTCAAAGTCCGCCTTTCGCGTCACGATCTACATGGATTCACCCTGGCGACTTTGCATCTCGTCACCGGACGACAATATTACGATATCACTTCGGCATTAATCGCTAGACCGCTCGAAACGGCTCCAATTCTACGGAGCGGCTGTCAGTCGATCGCCGTCGCTGCTTCGGGCATATCTCCCTTTAATACAGGCGCCGCGCCGGCCGGGCGTAGAGCTTAAAGTTGCGCTTCGCCGAGCGGATCTTTCTTCCAGAGAAAAACCTTCCGTGGAAGTAATACCATGGATAATACTACTGCGTCAGTAGTAACAACGGTTTCACCCAGCTCCGAAATTACCGGAGTAATTGAACAATAATATCCGTAATAGCGCGGTCCAAGTGCCTCGGTTGATCTCCGCCAGCGCTGTAGACAAGCGCGTCTGACGAGCACCCGAGTAAACGGGATAAAACCGACTTTGAATATTCGACCGGAGGTGCCGAATCACATTTCCGGTAATCGAAATTTACACGCGACACAAAGCGGTGTAACGTCCACACCGCTGAACGACCGAATTGTGACTGCGGATCATGGGCTTGGACGGCCGTGGCCCCGCCGTAGTTCGCCCAGAACGGGGCGAAAGCGCACCGCCTCGTCTCTGCGAAGCAACGCCCATCGTCGACGAGCACGCCTCCCTCCCTGAAGGTCGGCGCCACCTCTTTCCGAAGACGGTAGACTCGACTGCTTGTCTTACGACCTACGGCGATGCCAGATGGAAATTTCATTCGCGTAATTAATTGTACGAAAATTTCTCGCCGATAATGAGAGGGGACAGTCAACGAATCTGCTGATAATTGTAATGTTTTTGTAGAAACTTTAGCTTCCCACGAACGATCGGGAAATAATTGCGTTTTTCTTCAACGGATTATTTTGCAATTGATAGATAATTGATCCCTATAATAATACTGGGAATTATTAACGGTGAAATAACGAAATTACCTAACCAACTGGGGATGCTAGTCTTCCTCCAATTTATATAAACTACGTCACTAAAAGAAGTTATGATCTTATTACAGAGAGAAACTCTTTTGAATATATAAGTACGATTGTGATACATATTCAAAATAATTCATATTGTCACTAATCATGACCTTACGTTCATATGTTTTATATTTGATTGTTTATCGATTGAGTTTTTCTTATATCCTTTATGTCTTCCTCCAATTTATATAAACTACGTCACTAAAAGAAGTTATGATCTTATTACAGAGAGAAATTCTTTTGAATATATAAGTATGTACGATTGTGATACGTATTCAAAATAATTCATATTGTCACTAATCGTGACCTTACGTTCATATATTTTATATATTTCATTGTTTATCGATTGAGTTTTTCTTATATCCTATAAGCTGATATTACATTCGCTGCATGTTAATTGGCTGCAGAGGACAGAAAAGTTCTCAGATCTCTATCCTACAGCCACTCAATAGACTCGAAAAATTTATCGTACGACAAATATAATACCAGTCTTGTTTTTCATATTTTTCATCTACATCTATACAGGGTGTCCGGTAAGTTTTGACAAAGCGCTCGTGTGTAGATAAAGAGGACCGAATTGAGTCGAAAAGTCCTTTATTATTTTGCAATTTTCGCAATAGTTAACAAGATATTAATTACTAAAAATTGCCGAATATTGGTCTTCAATAATGTTTTACTCAAATACTATCAACTTTACAGAAAAACTGCATGAGACAAAAATTGTTTATCTTTTTCTCGTAGAACTTTTAATGAATTTTTCAGAATTTTTTGTTAACTTTTTAGTATTGCATTTTCTTATTGGCAATATGAGAAAATACGGTAAAAAATTCTGAAAAAATGTTCAGAACTTTATGAGAAGAAAATAAATAATTTTTGTCTCTTGCTGTTTTTCTGTAAAGTTGATAGTATTTGAGTAAAAAATTATTGAAAAACAATATTCAGAGCGATTTTTAGTAATTAATATCTTGTTAACTATTGCGAAAATGGCAAAATGGTAAAGTACTTTTCGACTCACAATCAATTTGTTCTATCTACACACGAGCGCTTTGTTAAAACTTAACGGACACCCTGTAGATGCACTTACAAAAGCTTGTGCAAGCATACTTTATTAAATTGCCGTATGCGCTAACTTGACAAATTTCATACTCCATTTCTTATTAGGATATTGCTGTTATTGTAACGCAACGATAGAGAGAGAACAACAGACGGAGAATGTTATTATTTTTATGATTTTGCAATTTTGTGTCAGGAATCAAAGTATTACCTTTTAATTAATACACCAGAATAATTGTAGGTAAACTTTGTTTGTACTTTAAAATAAATTGCATGCCTGTTTTCAGCATTTTTGTCTTAAGCAATCATCCATACAGCACACTTTATCCCAGAGATGTTCCTGCGAACGTTCTCAAAACTTTGAGACATTCTCAGGATATTCTTCAGAACGTCTCTTGGATATTTGTGCTATATATGGACAGTGCCAAAGCTAATAATTTAATAAATAAATCTAATTCGGAGAATACTATTATACTTCATTAAATTATTGAAATAATTGCAAACTTATAAAAAATATCTAATAATTTAAAATATTACGTAATTTAAAGAAAAAGTTTAACAATTTGCCGACGACTTAGTATATTTGGTCTTATTGTACATACATATAAGTTATTCCTAGACAAGGCTCTTCTTGTTCTATAATATAAAATTTTCTATAGAGACCGCGCGGGCGTACTGTCGAAACTTCAATTATATATTTTGACATCACGGCTTTTTATTTACTAGCTGTTATCATGCGAGCTAGAATTTGCTATCTTGCGCGATACAAGGAAGATAAGCGTTCAGCATTTCTTCGAATCATTCACAAATATATCAATAAGAATGAAACAATCGATGGGCAATCATTTCACAAGTTTATATCCGGGCGGCAGTAAGTCCAACCTAATCTAATCTAACCTGACCTGACGTGGATCTGGTTCCACGATCGTTTTTCATTCATCAATTCTTGTTCCTAGCGAGACAAGAATTTGGCAACGGTCAGGCCTACACCGTCCGTCGTCGCAATAAGAATTAAGAGCCCTGGAAGGCTCTCGAATCTACCACGCGTAAAGAACGACGCGGAAGAACGATCATCCGATTACGAGGATGTCGCGTGCGCGTCAGCATGGCGCCTTCCCGCGAACGGGGCGGCCCGCCCGTCGGCGACTCCCCCCTCCCTCCGTTTCGCGCTCCACGCCCCGATAACGAGGCTAACCCGTGCGCTTTTTGCGTCCGCACAATCGTACCGATTGCCCCGCCCCGCGAGCGCGCGATCAAACGCCATGACGCGTGCGCCTCCACTCGCGGGACTGTATGACGCGCGTTCGAATTCCCCCCGCCATACTTTTCCGATGGAAAGCACGGCTTCGAGACGCGGTCGTGGCGGCTAGCCGCGCCACGGCACCGGCTATTCTCTTCTTCTATTCCTCATCGTTTTCCGGTGGTACCGGATATCGCACGAAAGATCCGTGACGCCGATCACGATACCCCAGCATCGAATCTGGAGAGCGATCGGTAACGCTTATATAGTGCGAACATCTGACAAACATGAAACATTCTTGATTATGTTTTTTGATACCCTCTATTATGTCTCGATCTTCTGATAACATTTAAGATCTATATTCGATATTTTCGACACGTAATGTCTAAAGAAATTAATAAGGTTTTTAAATGTTAAGATATTTATTTGTCAAGAATTTCGAGTTGTTGAAGCATTGAACATTTTTATGTATGCTATTTCACAAATTTTTGAAATCCTTATGTTTCAAGATATTCATATTTTGGTATTTTAATGTTTCTCGGACTGCAAGTGTCATTTTCTTCACGAATTAAGGTATTTGAATTTAAATATTCTGGATTTAGATATTTCTGTATATTTCATTAAATCGATGATATTAATATATCAATCAATATTTTTTCGTATTCTAATTTAATATGAACTGTAACTTGTCAAAGAAAATTTAAAAATTGGCTCGCAGTGCAATTTTAAAAGCGTTACTGGCAGAGTCCTCTGTTGCTTTATTCGAAAATTTCCTGGAAAAAATTATCGATGTAAGAAAACATGTTTAAAAAGAATGTTAAACGTTAAAAAAATATACCTCTCAAATTATCGAACAACAAATTAAATATTCAAAGCGAATTATTGATAAAATACATAATCTCGAAATATATTGCAACATACAAAATCATGTTCGTATTCACTTGTAACAATTATAGAGACACAGTATATTTTTAAAGCTTTATATTAATTCCAAAAAGAAGAAAATTAAAGAATAAAAAATTATCAATTTTATTTTATAATTCGTCAATTAAATAATTACATAAAATTAAGAAAAAAAAAAAGTTTTTGCCGAAACCCGGGATTGAACCGGGGACATTTAGATCTTCAGTCTAACGCTCTCCCAACTGAGCTATTTCGGCTCACGAGGATAATCGTACCGTTCCACTTTAGTTTATCGCCAACGTGTAGTTATGTACCGTTGTGTTGATTGTGATTCATGTGATCATAACTGACCTTTGCTCAGTTGGTTTTGCAATATAAGCAATACTCGAATAATACCGATCGAAAAAATAACGATTATAAGATTCATTAAATCATACGAATACGAGTACTACGGTGTGTTGTGCAACTCGAGATAAAATATGCGTCGAGCTATGATTAACTGTAATCAGGTTCAGACCGAGGTGATATCAGAAGGCCGTTGGATAGAGGAAGATCCGCTACCACATTCCAGTAAGAATATAGTCCTCGTCATTACCGGGAACCCAGGTGTTCCACGATTTTACGAGGGCTTTATCAAAACACTCAAGTCGAGATTAACGTCGTCGGACACACCTGTGTGGGTTGTCGGACATGCTGGACATGTTCAACCACCAGAGAATCTGGATATCGCTATGCCCAGCGATCAGAAGTGGGCAGAGTGCTATGGCCTGACAGCGCAAGTTCAACACAAGGTGGATACTCTATCCCTCGAGCACTTTCTATTGATCTCCTGACCTCTTATAATAAAGCAATATAATAATTTTATGGTTGCAGGCTGAATTCATAAAAAGATACATTCCGGAGAATGCGCATTTACATCTCATTGGACATTCTATAGGTGCCTGGTGTGTACTCAATTTGCTGAAGGACAATGACATTGATAAAAGGATACGGAAGTGCTATCTGTTGTTCCCTACGATAGAGTACATGGCAGACACTCCTAATGGAATATTCTTTAAGATTTTTGTACGTCTTTGCATGTTTATCATTATATTTATCTATGAAATATTACTCAGAGAGGAGAGAGAGAGAGAGAGAGAGAGAGAGAGAGAGAGAGAGAGAGAGAGAGAACATCATTTAACAATAATACTCCAGCAGGTTGATGTTATGATACGTCTTTAATATCATGTCATGATGCTATAATTAGTTCACGCTCAACAATAAACATGTAATATACATGTATTATGACGCATGTATTACATACTAGTTGCATTGTTGAGCGTGAAATTGTAATACACTTGGAATTTGATGTTATATATGTTACTGTTAATTGATGTTTACTGAATTATAATTGCTGCACACAACACACAATTGTTTTCTATTCTAGTAATTATATTTCTAGAAGTAATTATATTTATCTTCTCAGGTATCACGTACGGCACCTATTTTGATTTTCCTGTCTTGGATCTTTACAACGATGTTTCCAGTAACTCTACAAACATTTATGATACGTACTTTCGGTTTGTTTTTTGGCATCCCAGATAGATCCGTCAGGGCAGTTCGAGAAATGCTGGATCCGAGAACCTTGAGTAGAATAATTAATCTTGCCAAGGAAGAGATGAAATATGTCAAAGAAGCTGATCATGAAACTATATCAAAACATGCTGATAAACTCTGGTTGTATTACGGTGCCAATGACGGTTGGGCTCCGGTGAAATATTATAAAGATATAGTATCAAAACATCCTGGCCTGAATGCTCAATTATGTCAGCGTGGTTTTCAACATTCGTTTGTATTGAAAGATGACGTGGACATGGGACACATCATCAGCGATCTCATTAATGAAGATTCGGGACATTGATAGTTCAGTTAATTATATTAATTATATTTAGTTAATTATACTAATTATATATTTTACAATTTGTATTATTTTTTTTTATTTATCATTGAGATTATTTCTCTATGCTTTATTTGTATATGGGTTTACATTTATTTATATTTTATATACTTGTTATTCTTCTTATATTACATTAATTATTATGTGTCATGTTTATGGGCATTTTATTTTATCATCTTTAGGAACGCACACATTTTTTAACAGTGATTGCTCTGTAACCAAATATAAAATGTGAACAAAAAGTGATACAACGGACATTTTTTATGTATTGAAAGTATTTTATAATATATTATTATGCCGATATTTTATTATTATTGATTTAAAATTTAATTTCTTAAACAGCAACGCAACGATACTTCCACCTATTTCATATTCACAAGTTTGATTCTGTTTTCATTTTTGGCGCCATTTGCGACACTAGCGATATAACTAGGCGACATATTCTGCAGGATATTCAACCATCCAAAACTTCCCTAGAATCAATTTCTACATAGAACGCTTATGTATATATAATTAATATTTTTTATTCTCATTTAATCTTCGTAATTATATTTCTCACTCAATCTGTAATGCAACTTTTTAAGTATCTAAAAACATTATTTAAAAGGAATAATATATAGTTTCAAAAATTTGTTCGGGAAATGAGGCAGCCACTCAATCAAATATTGCTCAATCAAATATTGCTTACGATTAACGTTACTTTTGAATCTGTCAATCATTCTTTTCTCGATCGTTTTTTTTTTTATTAGAATCTAACCAATGCAGCGCATTCGTATCCCTCTTTTTTTATCTCCGAGCCACGGACTATAAAGCCGCTTCTCACAGTTGTTGATATGACTCATGCCCATACAATAGAACCAGATTACTGCGACCACTGCCGTGACTCGCGGGAGTCGCGGGTAGTGCCGCAGTTAGCAGGTAGTTGCCTGAGATTCGTCACTAGACTCCTACTGTTATCGCCAGTTGTCACAGCCAGGCACATTGCTCAACCACCGAGCGGCGTCTGCAAATAGTGAAGTCTATTGAGAGGAATCAAAATGTCACGTCTCGAGGTAGCGTTGCTGCTGATTTGTCTTCACGCGGGATACGTTTATGGTGGTAAGAAAATGAGGTCGTTCAGCAAAATAGTCAAACGCGATTTTATTGGGGGAACGTGTATACACACATCTATGTACACATATAGGATCGTCAATGCATCAATCCAAGCGTTTAGGCACTTATCATATATGTGTAGAGCGTACGTTTATGAGAGAATGATTAATGATACTCTACGTATGTTCGAAGATCCACTCTTTTGATTGTGCATTACGTTTTTATATCATTACATACCTGAACAATCGATAATCACTTACTTTTTATCTCGTTTTTCAAACGTATTCAGAAACACAATAACATGATTTCTTTACATAGTTTCTTGGAGCTTACATTATTTCGTAATGGAGTGATAAATTTTCCGTTGAAGCTGAAGCTTAAAAAGTTCGTTATTTTACCACGTGAATTTGACGGTTTTTTTTTCTTGACCGCTAGTCCATCACAAGGACAACTTCGATCAAACTGCTTAGTCAGCAAAATGCTTCGCAAAATTTTTAAGGCCATGTAATTCGTTATTCTTAATCTTTTCTCTATTAAATTAATTAAAAATAACATAATTTTATCCATGATAATAAAATAATACAGTTACATTATTTGCTAAATTAATTATCGATTAAATTGATTGAAATTTAACTGAAATCATTTATCCGGAACTATGCTTGGACGTTAGACCGAGAAAACTTTATACTGAATTTATAACACTTTGTTCTTTAGGCACAATTTTATAATCTATTAAATTAGACAAATTGTGTTTTTATATATTTATAATATTATTCGCTAATTTCAGTACATTAATAAAACATAAAGTACTATTAATGTATGTATATATATATATATATATATATCATACATTAATTTGAGTTGCGTATCGTATTCATTTCTGCGAATCTCGTGAAATCGGATCTCGCAAGTCCGCTTAGCGAGACACTATAGCTATCGTTATACGTATTAAGACAAAGAAGAAATTGATAACATTTTCAAACATCGGCTTATTTGTTTGAAATTAAATTTGTTGGGATCTCCGTGGATAAACAAAACACGATTTAAAATTTTTTGTTAGTTATACATTAACACAAAAACACATTCTACCAAGTTCAAAAGCTTCTTATATTAATTTTGATTTTTTATTTATATATGAACGTTATACTATATTTCATTTTTAATTTTCATTTATATATCTTTTTAATGCGATCTGTCGTAATTTTCTTTATTTGTGCTTCAAAAGTGTCACTTTATATATGTAATATTACGAATGCCATGATGTATTATAAATAGAAATAATCGCTCTTTAGGCGGATTTCAAGGAAGTGAGATAAGATAAACGAAAAATTTGTTTATATAGACGGCAAACGTTTCGTACCACAGACTCCTGTCAATAAGACGCGCTTTTTAATTGTTGTAGTTTAATTTTGTTAATTATCGATCTCGGTTTCTTGTAAAAATCAATCTATTGTCTGACAATTGACTGTTTATGATCTGTTTGACACAATGTTATCATCGAGAACTTTGTGTGTGTATTATGTATTTTGGTAACATTGAGATTACTATATTCAATCGATCTATTCTTCCTCTCTTGTAATAAGTGCTGTAAACTATAGTTTATAATTGACAGTATTAGCAGTAATTGATTAAGATCAATGCGTGTTGGTTATGATTTGCAGAGATTTCTTTGATTCTTTTTTACGCTCGCATATTTTTCGCGTTCGTATAAGTGTGTACACGCACAGCGATCGATTACGTTTAATATACGCAGAATTCAATAATCATAATGTGATATCACGATAAACTCTATTCCAGTCGCGTCTTTTTTATTAAAAATATTTGTACGAAAAGATAGGAAACAGTATTGTAAAACATTAGACATCAGTATTTTTATAATTTATACAGGATGTCCCAAAATAATCGCCAAATATTTTATGGGCAGGTAGAGCGGACTAAACTGAATCGAAAAGTCCTCTACCATTTTGCAATTTTCGCAATAACAAGATATTAATTACTAAAAATTGTCCAAAAATTGATCATCAATAATTTTTTACTTAAATACTATCAACTTTACAGAAAAACTGCAAAAAACAAACATTGTTTATTTTCTTCTCATATAATAAAAATTTTTTCAGAATTTTTTTATCAACTTTTTAGTATTACATTTTTTTATTTGTATCATCATGAGAAAATACGGTATTAAAAATTCTGAATAAGTTCTGAAAAAATTCTTAGAGTTCTATAAGAAGAAAATAAATAATTTTTATCTCTTGCAGTTTTTCTGTAAAGTTGATAATATTTGAGTAAAAAATTATTGAAGACCAATTTTCGGTAATTTTCAGTAATTAATATCTTGTTAACTATTGCGAAAATTACAAAATGCTAAAAGACTTTTCGACTCAGTTTAGTCCGCTCTACCTGCCCATGAAATATTTGGCGATTATTTTGGGACACCTGTATATTTTAATTTAGATTATTTGATTAACTTTAACCATTTTTCGTTTCGTACCATTTGGTACGAGATAAAAAAGCTTAATGTTAAAGAAAAAAAATTATTGGAAAAATTTAGAAAAGTAATGAACAAATAGAAGAAATTATTGAAAAAGATTTGAAATTTACGAGGCAGTAAAAACGGATTCAAAGCAATAACTTCTTGGGTCATTGATGGACGAAACTTGATAAGTTCCTTTTCTAAAGATACAATACGTCATGGTAGATCTCTAATCTCCCTCACATAGTTTAATATTTACATATAAATGTAAACTATAAATTGCAATCATACGTTCCCTAGTTGATATACTAGCGAGTTCAGAAATTCTTTGACCAATTCTTGAAGCCAAGTATTCCTATAGTTTGTAAATAGGGCATAATTATTTATTATTATGAAGATAAGATTATTCAATTGAAATTCAGAGTTGTTTGGAGAATAACGTTATTAATTTCGTTATTAATTTAATCCTTAATTTTGTTAACAATTAGTACTTAAAAAGTTTTTAGTGCACGTTACGAAATATTTTTGTTTACTCTTTTTAGGATTATTTGATTGTAACTTCGAATTTTTGGAAAGGGATATTTTGGACCACATGGTTTTTACATGCCCAAGGTTATTTGAAACAAGGGAAAAACAATACTGCTGCGTCGATGTGATGAATAAAAGGAATTATTGCTGCACTTTTTTGGAATTTATGCAGACAACTGGGTAAAAAACATCATAATCGTTTGTAACATACAGTTTAAGTAAATAATATGTAATACGTTAATTCTACATGACGCGCAATCTTTTACATAATTTGTAAATGTAAAATAACATGGTAAATGTTAGAATCACTCAAGATAGCAATTTACTTAACAAAAGATAATACATGATATTTCTTTAATAACGATATATTATTGTTTTACAGACTCGGTTTAATTCTTCCTTTAGGAATTGCAGGGATTGTAGTTGTTTGCCTATTAGCATGCTGCATATCTTGCTTCTGCTGCAGCTGCTGTCCCTGGTATCGCCGTAATCGAGGGACCATCTATGGAAGTACGTCTTCTTTCTTAAATTTTCGTGCATTAATATTGAGTTGTCACACATATTTTTCACACTACATTTTCATGTTAAATAAACCAACTTTTAATATTTTCATTATGTATGGAACAAATATAAATCGATGGATTTTAATGAATTATAGTTTGTATTAGAGACAGCGACAATTATCTTTATAGAAGCATTTTTCTCAGATATTTAACGTCATAAACACTTTCGTGCGATAAAAATCACGTACATTAGATAAATTTTTTAATAAAATTAAATATATTGATGAATTCTGAATTGGCAAGTAACAGAGTCATCATTCTTTCTAGGACCAGGCTTGGCATAATACCATTCCAACACAACGTTTCTCCTACGAAGAGCATTTGTATGCCAATATTTGATAAATTTTTAGTTTATATTCTGCTTCCTAAATGTAATCTAACATTGAACTAATTCCCGTGAGGAAGATGTGTACTTATTTTACTATACATATATCTGTTGCGAAAGTATATTTTTTTCTTATAAGAATATTGTCTCTTTAATCTTATTGTTACGTTTTTTAGCTCGTAATATTACTTCTTCCATATATCCTCAGATGTATGGAACTTTCAGTCTATATTGCTTTTGAATGGCCTAATTTAAAGATAATTCTCATGGCAATGAGACTCCTGATTCATTGCTACTGTCTTCCAACAACATTATGCCAATGTATATTTTTTACAGTATTACATTAATAGCAAAGTGTTTTTGTAGAAGATCTAAGTTTAAATTCTTATCCAATTGCTATATTCTTATAAGGAGAATCTAATCTTCCAATTATAGATGTAAGATAACTTGCGCAGTGGAAACTAATGAGTCTGAGACATATAACCTCGCGTATAACGTATAATAGTACGTATGAAATGCTGTGTTACATTACTGTATATTTTTACTGTAAATCGCGTTTTGATATTTTTTTATTAGTTTAACAATGTCTCATTTAATGTTAAGCATACCTTATTAAAATGTACATATGAAATGTTCCAAATTACGTGTGAGAAAAATATGATATAGTTTTTATTTTATATAGATTGTTTTTATTTTATAGATTTTTTATGTTATTAAGAGTAATATACAACTATATATATGTGTGTGTGTGTGTATATATATATATATATATACATATATATATATGCATATACATAATATATATACCTACAGGGTTGCATGTCTTTGAAATATTTTTATTTGAAAAACAGTATTTATAAGACAATTGTATTTTGTATTATACATTTCAACGCAGCACATGCAAATATTCTGTATTTTGTGTTTCATAGCAGCATATAAAAGTATATTTTGTATTTTAGTATTAACGAAAGATCGAAAATATTTTGTAGTTCGTATTTTTTAAATACTAAGATTGATAATTAATGTTATTATTTGAATTACAAAGTACAAAGGATTTATTTTTTCGATTTTAAATACAAAATACATAATACTTTCATGTGCTCCGCTGAAATACAGAATACAAAAACTGTATTACAAAAACTGTGTTTTAAATAAAAGTATAACAAACAAAAAATATAGTAGGCAAATGAGAGTCAGCGACAATAAACAGCGCAAAGTGTTATAATGATCGATCAATACTCAAAAAATGGATTGATGTCTTCTTTATTTGAACGTTTCAACTCTCTTTGGAGTCCTCCTCAGCAAGAATGATACGTGTCATGTTCCGTGATGATTATCAACGCTGCATTTTTATCAATTTGCGAGTGATTTAAGCAGTGTGAACATGTAAACTTATTGGAATTGTATCATTCTTGCTGAGGAGGACTCCAAAGAGAGTTGAAATGTTCAAATAAAGAAGACATCAATCTATTTTTTGAGTATTGATTGATCATTATAACACTTTGCGCTGTTTATCGTCGCTAACTCTCATTAGCCTACTATATTTTTTGTGTGTTATATTGTTTAATATTCGAGAGTCCTAATATTATTATTGTTTTTGTTAAATAAAAGTATTTCAAATACATGCTAATCCTGTTAGTATATATATATATATATATATGTATATATATGTAAGAGAATTGATATTAATTACCACTAAGCAAATATGTAGATGGAACACTTCGTATGTAGATTGATTTTTTTAATTCTTTTTGATTAATGCATCTTCCAAATGCATTATATGAAATGTGTTCAAATAAACATTCCTTTCATATGTGCATATATGCATGACATTAATTTTAGCATTAGATTCGCCTTTACGAATATTATAGTTACTTGATAACTAAATTTTATAGTTAGCGTACAGGTCATGTATTTGACTTATAGAAGCTTAAATATATAAATTTTTTTATTAAAAATTGTGTACAACCCGACTATCACCAATACATAATAATTTATTGTTTTATTTTAATCGAGTGATAAGTTATTTAATAAAAGCACATTTAAAAAATTTATTAATTAAATATTACTTTTTTAAATTTAAAATCTATTTAAAAAATTTTATATTATAGGTTATTATATTTCGTTTTTTGTCCTGATTTCATTATAATTTTAGTCTTGTTGCTAATTTGCTCACTGTCTCTGAGACAAACTTAAGATATACTTGGGATCTTTATGTATCCGTTACACAAATATTTGTTGCAGACATTCAGACACCTATTGTGCAAGTAATTCAGTCCCCGGAAAATGTTCCACCAAGCTATACTAGCCAACCTACTCAAAATATTCCACCAAGCTATACTAGTCAACCTACTCAAAATATTCCGACAAGCTATACTAACCAACCTACTCAAAACTATGTTTCACCATATCCAACGAATTCGACAGGTACTTGATCAAAATTTCTATATATACATTTAGATTTTTTACATTCAGACAATTAACATCTAACATATCTATGAAGATTTATAAAAAAAATATTTATTTAACTTTTCATATATTTTAGAGTCGATTCTTTTTAGAAGTATTTTGAATTTTGGTATTATTTTAACATCGAAGAGAAATGTAGTAAGCTCTTTAGTCTCTTGAATAGATAATCATTTTTATTTAATTTTTTAGCAATGCCGCAACCTCCACCATACACCGACGAGGCGTACGCTAAACAGGCTCCATACAATCCTGCTTATTTACATCTACAGTGATCTTTCAAGTTGTAGTTATCATAACTAATGATTAATGATGGAGGATTTGTGATTCCTTTCTATCGTTCAAGCGATTCTCGTCGTCAGTCTCGAATTTACGAACGCCAGTACAGAAAAAAAAATTGTGTTCATGGTATTATCGCATCACAATTGCGATTTGTGCTTGTGCATACATGCATAGACAATTTATTCGACCATAAATATTCGCACAAACTTTTTACTGTTGACAATGCATTTTTCTTCCTCGATATCTTTCTAGAAAAATGCTCAATACTTTTATTATACTTTTACATATATTTGTTAGACATATACGTAATTCTCAGACTATGATTTATATAAATGTTTTTTTTTTTTTGGAGAAAAACTGAATAGGACAAATGAACAGAACAAACTTTGTGAAATACTCTCAATAAAAGATGAATTTATAACAAAGAGAAGAAAAAATGTACATATATATATATAGTTTCCTAGAAGTGTGGGAATCCCATAATAATTTTTGTAAAAACAAAGATATCGGAAAATGGTGAAATATGTTTCGAAAAAGCTACTTTTTGGTATAGATATTGATCAACCGCTATCCACAGGTGTGCAAGGGCGGAAGGGATGATGAAAATAGCACTAGAGGTCAAGTAGGAGCTTATCTAAAAGGCCTTTGATGGTAATTAAAATATTGACAATTTTAAGTCGTTACAAACGACTCCATTCAAAAGGATGATCGTTCAAAGGTGGAAATTTCGTGCACTTGACATTTTCATCGCCCTTCCTATCCTCGTGCACCTTTAAACGTTGATTAAACAGCACCGATGCCAAAAGGTAGCTTTTCGAATATGAGTTTCACCGTTTTCTGACACCTTTATTTTTACAAGAATTATTACGACAATTTCGGAAAACTCTGTATACAGTATTAACTATTAAACTTTGTATAGTGTTAAAATAGTCTTAAGAAGATCGTATTTAATTATAAATAATATTAACCTACACAAATTTCTTTAAATTTCCTGTATTACTGCAGCGGTATATTGAATTATGAAGTCTTAAATCATGTGATTCTTGCGTTTTTTAAAGAGTAATAAGGAAGTTCTTTTATATGCTTGCTGATTCATTACAAGCATCCTTATTATTCGATGAAAGTGCAGGATTCCAGGATAAAATTTTGTGTGATTCATTTGATCCAGTGAAAATCGCGTTATTATTTTCAATATTTTTGATATACAATAATAATCGTTATTAATTAATTAGGTACAGGAACACTTGTAACGTTCGTGATATAATTAATAATATTCAATTACGTACAATTATAAATTGTCGTCGGTCGCACTTGTCGCCTTCAGATGAACCTTTTCATGTAAAGAATTTGCGGAAGTGTGAATTTTCGTAAATAAACGCAGTATGCTTATCGTTTTTATACTTTTTTTTATCAATTTTTTCCCGGGAATCACGTGTAGGAAGCGGGCTTCGGCAAATTATAAAGTCGAACCATCGATCGAGGGCCATCCGGCATTTTTCGTAGAATATAATAATTTACATTGTACAATGTAACAATTGTGTTATAATTTAATCCCTTCAGTCTCAAGTTTTATTCTTTTTTTCTTCAATAAAAGATCTAATTGTTTATATAGTATCTTTTTTTCTATTTCGATAGATGGAAAGTCTAAAAAAAAAAAGAAATAAAACTTGATATTCTCAGCGACAAGTCGGTGTGAATATAATTTTGACGAGATTTAATATCGGACACAATGTTTTTCCTATCAGGATTGGGCCCCTGTACTATAATTTATAAATATTTCTTAACCTTCTTTCTTAGACTTATTTCGATCTTACTGCACTAAAAAGGCACATATTTCCGCACCTGATACAAACGTTATTACAATCTAAACGCTAATGATCTTCCTTTCTCCACCGGTTTTTCCGTCCCGACGCCAACTGTATGTCAACACATACTATAAATATCGCTCCGTTATTAGGCTACGCTCGGTGAATTTATTTCACAATATTGAATGGATGACGATGATGCAACGGTGACGGTAGTGGCACAACGGAGAAAAAAAACATGATTCACAATTTTTTTCGCAATTTAGCGTACCACGCATATATGTAAAATATATTACATATATTATGTACGAAACGACGTCTTGTCTTGTATTTACATGAAATATACGTAATATATTTCCTTAGATTTCTAGTTTGTATAATAATTATCGTCTTCTATGTAAGTCTAGTGCCTACGCAGACCTTACTAAGGCGATCAACTACGCGAACCTTTGTACAGTCGTTTGGAGAACTATGGGAAGTTTTCGAGAGGAAGAAATTGTTTAATCGGTCACAATGTTTTTGATATTTCGACGTTGTCGTTCTCGCCCAAACTATACTCCGTAAATATGGTATTGCGCCAGGTAAAATTATAACAATAATTCCATCTGGCAAAATCCGTACCGATAAAACGCGTAGCATTGTCATCAAAATCGTTACATGCTAATTATGTACAATAAAGCGCTGTCGCACGAACTGTCCGTCGTGTAAATTCGTTGACAAAGAAATCCCAATTCTAAAGAATTGCCCCTTTTCTTTCTCTGCCCTGAATAATTGTAAAAGTATAAATATGATAAAGTCTGAAATAAAAAAAAAATGAGACAAGTATGATTCTGATCTTACTCCGACTTCCGCTCAAATAGTTTTCACATTAGGTACCATTTCATGCTAACGCTCATTTTCAGCATCAAAATAGGCTGCGATCAAAATTGACGCTGGACAGTGAAAAATGCATTGAAATAGTGCAGTGTCATGTATATAGCGATTAATCTCGAACAAAGCGATTTGACGCTGGAAGTTGAATAAATGCAATTTCCGGTATCAGATGCTAAGTGTCAAATATTGAGACGTGATCACGCTAATGCTTTTCAGTGTCTCATGAAATAGTAATTGCTTTCCATTTACACACAAGTGAAACTGAGTCTGAAGTGAGCTGAGTTTTCATACTCAGATTTTAATAACGTTATTATTTGCTTAGTTTGGTAAAAAGTTATCACATGACAACATAGGTTCGAACCTCACTTTTAAAGTGAATTTACGACAGGGTTGGTAAAGACTAATGCTTTTTTTAAGAATAAAACATATTGTGTTTCTTCTTGAATATGTTTTTAATGCTTCAAATATGCTTTAAACAGTACTATAAAAAAAACATATTTAAAACATATTAAAAACATCAATTAAGCATGTTTTAAACTGTTTAAAACACGTTTAAAACATGTTTTTTACCAACCCTGATTTACGAGACTTACTAAAGCACACGGTCTCGATCTTATGCAGATTATAGACAAAAACTCAATTAAATCTCACTTGTCAGAATATAAAAGGAACGCATTCAACTGAGTTATGACGTCACAAGTGATAATTATCTGAAAATCGGTGTAAATGGAAAGCAACTGGTATCTACAGTGTCACCTTATTAAACTAGAAAACAATGCGATATCAAAACAATTGATGTTATGCGTATGCGTCAAAAGGGGTCGGGGCCCGACACAAAAATACCCGACAAGCAAGTTTGTATTAAGCGTGTTGGCGATTCTGCAGCGGCTCGGAGAAGCAATTCCGGCGCCTGTGATCTCGCGCTCGAGGTCTCTAATCCCTAATCTCTCATCATCAAAGATTCCGCGTTTATTGCTTTGTCGCCGTCAATCGGATGTTGGTTCTAGTGATTTCGCGATCGCGAGGAAAGCAAAACTCGGGCATTTTCGGAAAACAAATCCGTAATGGTGGTGAGCGCCGAACCGATCCAGTCTTCTCGAGAGACAGTGATATCGAGCCAGTTTCACCAACGCCAGTTAACTTAATCGGCCGTTAACTGACCAATAGCATTTGCGGTTTAGTAGAATTGACCAATTACAGTTGACAGTTAATCCTGATTAGATCGAGCTTCTCGATCCGTGCGCATCGACCATTTTTTTTTCTGTGCGATCACTGTTATGCCCAGTGTAATATTTGTAATCCTTACCAGAAAATGGTTGTACATATTCTGGAAGGTAAATTGCCGAGATACACGATAGACAAATAGGAGACGACGTTAGAGAGAGACGAGTTTCCGAAACCCGAACAAATGTACAAATTCCTGTAGAGCACAGCGATCTGCGCTTTCTTCTTATTATTTCCCTATTTAGTTTTCCGACCCAAGAAGAGGGTCACAGTATACTATGCGGTGATTTTGGATCATAGATCCTGTGATAACCTCTGCGGGGAGTTAGAGGCTTCACTTTTGCTCTATCACAATCTTCTAGATTGATGTCATCTTCTTCTTCTTCGCGTGAGAATGGCCTCGACTCGTAACACCGAGTCGATTCGGCCAGAATCGAAAATGCCGCTTATGCGGTGAGTAACAAAAACAATATGCAGAATACGAAAGTCTAAAAGAGTAACATAAACTCAATTGCGCGTTTGAAGCCGGTCACACTTCCCAAAATGATGACGCAATAATACGTCCGATACGTCGGTAGACGAGCATCATCAACCGACTATTTTGATGTCTCCAGAGTCACCTTTTCTCGCGTCAATCTGGGGCTCGATTGTGTATCTCGAAATGAGATGAAAATTACAAAAATGACTCCCTGAGTTTTGAGACGCGAAAAAACAAAAATACTAGATTCCGAAAGGGGTAGAGGCAGTCAAGAAGGCACGAACTTCTGCATCGAGCATTCGTCGTAAAAACATTGTATAATTTCGTCGTATGCAAGGACAAGAGACATCCGTTCTATCTATGACTATGTTTACACCCAGCGACCTGATAGCGACCCAATCTATATCGTGACCCAAAGTAGGTCTTAGGTTTATTCGCGTCGCATACTCCAACATGCTTCAACATGTTCCTACCATAGCTCTTACTCACTCTAACGAGCGCGTTTGAGTAGGAGCTACAGTTGGAGGGGGGTGATCCCGATTGATCACGGCTCGATTGGACACCACCAATCGCGACCGGTGCTTAGGAGCTTTGTAGTCCCAAGCGCTGTGAGTGGCTCGTGTCCGATTGAGCTGTGTCCAACTGGGTGCCACCCAGTTGGAGGAAGTAGGAGTATGTTGAAGCATGCAACGCGAACAAACCTCTAGTTACCTTGTGTTAGTTAGTTTGTGTTGTCTCTGAAGAAGGCTCAAAAATGAGTCGAAACATGTAAGCGCGTTTGGTAGAATAAAAAAATTTTATGTTTTATAAGTGTATTATTTGTGCGACGTTTTCTGTGTCTGACTCCTAGTGCTCTTATTCTTTCCAATTTCAATACGCTTACGTTTGGTATTTCTTCGGCATCATTTTTGGTTATTCGCGTGGTACGGAAA